ATTGGCTAAAGGGCATGATTGTTCATTGCCATATTCAGTTTCGGGCAAATCGGAGGCCGTTTGTGGAAGTTACAGTCAAATGTAAGGTCATGGCGTCACGCCAGCATTCACCATGGCATCAAAGCCCCTCCCTTTCTGGAAAGCTATCAGATCTGAATGGTCTTTAAAACATCATGAAGACACTGTATGACCTGAGTGTCATTTTCATTAAATTAGAGGGGACAAATATGGGCATTTCACCATAAAACAATAGACTTCCTGTTGTCAGGGGGCGGGGCTTAGGTGATGTCAGCTGTCCACATTGTCGTTGTCTTGAGATGTGGTCAGTGATCACACAGACAAAGTTTGAATTAGATCTGATCATGCACATGGGAGTTATTAAGTCAAGTAATGTCATGGCGAAAGGTCAAAGTTTGAGGCTTAGCCACGCCCACACCTTTATACTTATTTAAAATCCGACGGTTGAATTTTTTCCCCTTTGACTTAAAAGTACATAGCATAAGTTTGAAGGTGATCGGTGTAAAGGGCAACGGGCCATCAATGTCCAAACAACGTGTGCGAAAACCACTAAATCGAGTACTTGGACCAAAATGGCCGACCTCCTGTGCGAAATTGCGCTTGGCTCCAAGAGACTTTTTTGTAGGGCCAGAGACCCTACATGAGTGTACCAATTTTCGTAATCCTCAGTCAAACCTTGTCTTGGGGCTGACAGTTTTAATGGTCCTAGGGGGCGCTATTTCAGAATATAGGCCACGCCCACAAATCTCAGATGCCCATTTCTATTGGGGGTCAGACTAGGATCACTCACCAGACATTTTGTGGCGATGTCACGATAATTGAAGAAATGAGAGGCAAACGTATTGCCATGGCGTGATGGCGAATTTCGCCATGCTCCCAAAGCCCCGCCTTTTTTCAAAACCTGCCAGTACTGTAGACCAAGTGACCTCAACTTGTCAGCTGCTATTTACCAGAGATTCCAGGTGATTGGGTAAAAGGAGTCCAATATGGAGCTGTGAAAAAAAGAGTGGCGTGGCAAAAGGTCAAAGTTTGAGGCTTAGCCACGCCCACACCTTTATACTTATTTAAAATCCGACGGTTGAATTTTTTCCTCTATGTCTTAAGAGTATATAGCAGAAGCTCGAAGGCGATTGGTGAAAAGGGCGACGGAGCATCACTCTCCAAACAACGTGTGTGAAAACCACTAAATCGCGCACTTGGACCAAAATGGCCGACTTCCTGTGCGACTTTGCACTTGGCTCCAAGAGACTTTTTTGTAGGTCCTGAGACACCACATTAGTGTACCAAATTTCGTAATCCTCAGTCAAAGCATGGCTTGGGGCTGACAGTTTTAATGGTCCTAGGGGGCGCTAATACAGAAAATAGGCCACGCCCACAAACTTAAGCTGACCTTTTCTATTGGGGGTCAGACTAGGATCACTCACAACAATGGTCGAGGTGATATCACGATAAATGAAGAAATGAGAGGCAAACGTATTTCCATGGCGTGATGGCGAATTTCGCCATGCTCCCAAAGCCCCGCCTTTTTGCAAAACCTTCCAGTACTGGAGACCAAGTGACCTCAACTTGCCTGCTGCTATTTACCAGAGATTCCTGGTGATTGGGTAAAAGGAGTCCAATAAGGAGCTGTGAAAAAAAGAGTGGCGTGGCGAAAGGTCAAAGTTTGAGGCTTAGCCACGCCCACACCTTTATACTTATTTAAAATCCGACGGTTGAATTTTTTCCTCTATGTCTTAAGACTATATAGCAGAAGTTTGAAAGTGATTGGTGAAAAGGGCGACGGAGTATCACCATCCAAACAACGTGTGTGAAAACCACTAAATCGCGCACTTGGACCAAAATGGCCGACTTCCTGTGCGACTTTGCACGTGGCTTCAAGAGACTTTTTTGTAGGTCCTGAGACACCACATTAGTGTACCAAATTTCGTAATCCTCAGTCAAAGCATGGCTTGGGGCTGACAGTTTTAATGGTCCTAGGGGGCGCTATTTCAGAAAATAGGCCACGCCCACCAGATGTTCACATCAGATCTTTTGGGGGGCCGGACTAGGATCACTCACAAGAAGTTTCGTGACGATATCTTTGGAAATGACGAAATGGGAGGCAAACGTAAGGCCATGGCGGTACGCCTGAATTCGCCGCGCCGCCACAGCCCCGCCCTCTGCCGAAAACTCCCATAAAGTGACGCCAAGCAACCCCCACTTGTCTTGAGTTACCAGCTACAAATTTGTGGTGATTAAGTGAAATGGGGCAATTTGGGACCTTTCACAGTAAAACTTGATCTTTTTGGTCCTGAGGGGGCGGGGCTTGTGTGATGTCATCATCCGACCATTCAATTTACTTTGGGGGTGGATGACGAATGACCACAGAAAGTTTGGTAACTCTATTCCATTCAGTTATGAAGTTATAGCAATTTAAATATTTTTGGCGAGTAGTCAAACTTCGAGGCCTGGCTCCGCCCCTTCAACATATACGAAAACTCAGAATCCTTATCTCATTTTGTTCGCCCATCCCTTCTGAGCAATTTTACACAATTTTTGAGACGATCGTGCGAAAAATGATCGAGCAATCCAATCAGAAACGGACCCTAAAAACGGCAAAAACGGCAAAAAATCGCCATTTCAACCCAAAATGGCCGACTTCCTGTTTGATATTGACCATGGTTGCAAGAGACTTTTCTGTGCGGACTGTTGAGTACTACAAGTGTACCAAATTTCATAACTGTACGATAAACTAAGCTTTATGGAGAGGGGTTTTTTTCACTTTGTAGGGGGCGCTGTTCAGCCATTTTCTTTGCGATTTTTTTGGGACCTTTAAAATATCAAATTTTTCACCAGGCCTGACAAGTGTGCAAAATATTGTGAGTTTTGGGGTATGTTAAGGTCCCCAAAAAGCTGTTCAAAGGGGGCACGGAATAACAAAAAATAATAATAATCAGAGCAAAAACAAGAGGCCTTCGCAGCGCTTTCGCTGCTCGGGCCTAATAATAATAATCAGAGCAAAAACAAGAGGCCTTCGCAGCGCTTTCGCTGCTCGGGCCTAATAATAAACAGATGGGGGTAGACAAGGTTCACTGCGTGCACATTCATTCACTGCGTCTCTGTGTGTGTGTGTGTGTGTGTGTGTGTGTGTGTGTGTGTGTGTGTGTGTGTGTGTGTGAATCCATCATTATTTCATGCAACCTCACACGCTGCGTGCCTGTAGTTGAGTCCAGATCACCCAGCAGCAGAAGCACGCACGAGCCGCCTCCGGTAATGAATAACGGAAAAAACTTAATGTGAAGCGCAGCCAGATGTGCGCGTCACAGCTGGATCAGTGGACGGTACATATGCGTGTGTGTGCGCGCGCGCGCGTGTGTGTAAGGCTCTGCACTCACCAAAGGAGAGCAGACGGAGTCCAGAGGGTTGCGGGTGCCCGGTGAGGCTGTTGCGGTGTGTCAGCGCTGGCTCTCGGGACCGGGGCTCACTCCCCTTCCCGCCCGGGTCACAGAGCCTCCACCGAGCAGCGTCTCCCCTTCATCCGAGCTGAAGGAGACCGTCCTCCCACATAAACGTGAAGGCTGTCTCCGCTCCTGGCGCGCGCCACCGTCTCGAGCGGAAAACCCCCGCTCCTCTGGTTCACATCTGCACCCACAAATACGAGAACAGAGAAAAACAAGAAAAAAGGGTTTTCAAAATTCAGGAGCGAGGAGGTTGTGTTTCAGTCTTCCTCCCCACGGGGGTGATGACACAGCCGGACTCGGACCTCCGCGCTCCGGGTTCTGTGACGGGAGGTGCGGGACTCCCCTGAATGCGGGAGGAGAGGAGCTGGTCGAGCGCTCGAGCGTCTCTGCCTCTGCAATTCCAGCTCTCTCGTGCGCCCCAGCCTCCTATGAAGCCTCTCCAACGTGCCTGACTGTCAAGGCCATCCGGGCACCCGTAGCTGGCTCTCCTCGGAACTCTGGGAGTTGTAGTTTTCTGAACGTGGATTCGTGGAGCATGAACATTTAAATGAAACCTCTCAGGGAAGAATACGGTTTTTGTAGAATGCCAGACGTGTTTTAGGTCACTTACGGTAATGCGCAAAGTTTTTAAAATCACCTCCCAAATCAAATGTTGTCTTCAATAGAAAATTCCTTCATTTGCAGGGATGAAGGGTGAAATTTAAAACGAATTAAAAGTAAAAGTGACTGAGAAATACTGAAAAGGTGCTTTTGAATTTTCCCACATCAATAAAACTGTTTTTGGACCAATTTTCTTACGGTTTTCTTTAACGTTTCTATTCATTATTTTACTAATTTTCTGTTCTTTTCTTGATCGTGGCAGGAAGGTGGATGAGAAGAAAACAAATTCAATGTTCTGAAAACCCTAATAGCACAAAAGCCAAGTTAAACCAGAACAGAGTCCAGCAAATCCACCAAACCTCACCTGAGACGTTCCACCTGACCAAAACATTTTCATGAGTCAAACTGGGAATTTCGTCACCTTCATCAACACAAAACCTGCTCATCCTTTGAGTTCGGAACATTTCTGTTATAACACTCTTTTTCCATTTGTCTGAAAACGATCTGGTGCTGGATTGAAAAAGGCTGATAAATCAGCCAAAGCCCAAAAAAGAAGCTCAGAAATATTAGAATTTGAATATTTTCCAAACGTGGACCTCAAGGGCCACCGCCCAGCATGTTTTAGTAGTTTTTCTGCTCCAACACACCTGGTTTCAGGTGAATGAGGCTTCTGCAGAGCTTGATGAGCTGAACAGGTGACTCAACTATTGAATCAGGTGTGTTGGAGCAGGGAAACAACTAAAACATACAGGACAGTGGCCCTTTTGTTAAATTAACAGTTGTTGCAGCTGTCAGTTATTTACCTGCCAGGTAAAAAAGTTCATTCTTATGAGGTTAGACTCAAACAGCCAAAATATGAAACCATTCTGTAAAAGATCCTAAATAAATAAAATCTGGTTTTGTAACATTTGTGAGATTTCAACCAAAAGGACGACACCTGGATGTTTACCAGATATAAGATTTATTGATGAACAGGAATATCGGAGTTAAATTACAACAACGAGAGAGACAACGAATACATAAAACACCCGACGGAGCACATCTTCACGACTTGCATGGACTTTTTTTTCTAAGGCACGTGTTGTTTCCACAGAACAGACAGGCAGACGCTGCGCCGGCCCTTCTTTACGTCCAATCTTTGAGATGAAAACAGAAATATGTTCGGTTACTGCGAAAGAGTGAATTTTCCCAAACACGTGTGAGCGTGGGGGGACCCGCGACGCTCGCCGACGGCGATGGGAAGGTGCGAAACCTGTTGATCCAACAGTCGAGCTGCTGAAAAACAAACGTTCTCCTCGCAGAACGAGAAATCAAAGAGGGTCTGAACGAAATATGGCAGCTGAACAGATCATGTACCCACCGGACTTCCCCCACCCCAACACAACCATCTACATTTTCCTGTTGTCATGGTTACAGAGTAAAGCAACATCTCTGCGAGGCCTGACCAGCAACGCTCCAGCTCCTCCTCAACACGGGTAACTGATTTGTTCTGAGCTGCATCGGCTGGCAGGAAAGGGAATTCATTGATATGCATCTTCATATGTAGCCAGTATGGGATTAAATACACCTGGACACGCCTGCTACACGCGTCCGTCCAGACGCGGTCACAGGTTTTCTCCGGGCTGGTACTGCGGCTCTGTGGCCGTGAAGTAATCCTCCAGGAAGGACTGCAGGTACTCAAAGGTGTGTCTCTCATCGGGTTCCCGCCTCCAGCACTGCACCATCAGCTCGTGGAGCGAGGCCGGGCAGCCGGAGGCGCAGGGCATCCGGTAGCCCCGCTCCACCTGCTCCAGCACTTCACGGTTGTTCATGCCTAAAGGGAAAACAGGGGGAGGGAGAGAGGCTGATGCAGGAGGAGATCAACATCACATTTCAAACAAGACGCCTTCAAACAGGAGAAAACCTGCTTCTAAACTTGCAAAATGATGAAAAAATCTGCAAAGATGCCGAGGAAATGAAAAATGAAGTTCTGTGCATTATTTATTTATATGATAAGGAACCGTCCCTCTGCTGCCATCCAGCTAATTGTACTGAATTCAGTACGAGATCTGTTCTTGATCAGTTCCAATAGATTCATGATGTTTGATTACAACGGTAACAGGTTAAATATAACTGCAGGTGGTTCAAAATGTAAAACAGCCTCGTTTTTTTTTTATTTTCTTATTTATGGATCTACCGGACTGTCAGCTTCTTTCTGAGAAGCGTTTTGATTTATAAAAATGTTTTAGATGGACATACGACATGTTCTCTGAAGTTATAATAGTTCTATAATCTTTGCAAAACATGCTTATGAGGTTCTTCACACAAATCCTTCTCACACGAAGTGATCAGCTTTATTCGTGACAGTTTCAGTACCTTCCAGAATGAGCCGTTTCAGGGCTCTGTCAGGCTGGCCATGCCCACCCATCCCCGCTCATGCCGCTTTAAGCTGAGAAGCTCCAGTATGCAGGAGGGGCTCCGAGTAGAGCTGCTTGTCCAGCAGCATCTCTCTCTTACACGAGAGAGGTACTTCTAAGCTAATTTCCCTGTTTGTGACATCACAAATGGGGAATTTTTAAAAAATGGCTTGTTTGGCACATGATTCCTAAAACCAAACACTAACAGAAAATGAATGACTGCATTTTTTCATGTTTAGAGTGTTTATAGAGGCAGTAGAGGCCAGCGGGGCAGCACAAAGGCGGGTATTGCCCAACATCTGTTTGAAGCTGCACCTTTTAGTGCAAATAAGTAATGCAACATGAGGTTATCTTAGTTTCAGTTGGCTTGTGTTAGTTTGTTGTTAGCGCTAGCTATAGCAGGCTGCAGTGGGGTTGTTCACGACAGTTGTGATTCCACTTTCAGCCAGTAGGGCAGGGGAGCAAGAAACTAGAGACGACCTGCTCACAGGAATCAGGCGGTGGAAGACTCAAAACACCAGCAGCAGAGAGTGTCGGCATGGACGAGGTCAAAGGTCACAAAATACGATGTTTTCCTTTCATTTTTACATAAAGCTTTAGAATGTAGAAAGAGACACAAAATTTAAACAAAAACATTTTGGTTTTTGGCTTTTTTTTTCAAGTGTAGAAATGTTTCGGTTACATTTTTGCGGCAGGAATAGTGCAATTTATCTCACTAAAAACGTGTAAACTCAGGAAACTGAATGCTAATTTACACGGGGGGATTAAGAAACGTTTTCCCCTCCCTCCTCATTCAGGTGCTTCTGTGCCGAGGTCTCCAACAGAGCTCCGTAACGAGGTTCAGTGGGCGTGAAACGCCTAAATAAAAGTGCAAGAACCTGCGTGGAACAGGAGGCGGTGCGGTCAAATACCTGGGTAGGGCACGCGTCCCTTAGTGATGAGTTCGGTCAGCAGGATCCCAAAGCTCCACACGTCTGACTTGATGGTGAAGCGTCCGTAAAGAGCAGCTTCTGGGGCCGTCCACTTGATGGGGAACTTTGCTCCTGCAACCATGGAAACAGTGAAAAACACACAATCACATCATTTAAGCGGGGACCAAAAACAACCCGGAGATGCACCATCTACCGCTACCTTGTCTGGCCGTGTACTCGTTGTCCTCGATGAGCCGAGCCAGGCCAAAGTCGGCGATCTTGCACACCAGGTTGTCCCCGACGAGGATGTTGGCCGCTCGCAGGTCACGGTGGATGTAGTTCATGCGCTCGATGTACGCCATCCCCGCCGCGATCTGAACACCCAGAGCAACACGAGTTTCAGCTCTGCAGCGGGAGCAGACGCCGATGTCATCATCATAAACTCACCTGGGCTGCCATGTCCACCAGCTGGGGAAGCTTCAGGTTATGTCCCTCTCCATCCTTCAAGAAGTCCAGCAAGCTTCCTGAAAATGTCACGTGACGCTATGGTTACTTCTGTTTTCAGCTGAGTGGAGCTTCAGAAGCTTTCAGCTGGTGCATTTCCCGCTTTTAGGGAGGAAAAGTCTCACTTCACTTCGGAAGTCAGAAAAGTTTCCACCCACTGCGACCGCAGCGGCTCAAAGCTTCCACACGTCAGCGAGGTGACGGGTTACTCAGCGGCGTACCTTGGCTCATGAACTCGGTGATGATGTAGATGGGCTCCTCAGACACGACGGCGTAGAGCTGCACCAGCTTGTCGTGCCGGAGTCTCTTCATGATCTGAGCCTCCTCCAGGAAGGCCTCGGGGGACATGGTTCCTGGCTTCAGAGTCTTCACCGCCACCTTGGTGGTGCCGTTCCACATGCCTGGCATACAGACGAGCTGATGTTAGCACGCACACACACACGCACGCACACACACACACACACGCACCAAGTGCCTCGCTATGCTAGCATGCATCATACTGACAGTTATTATGTGCAAAAACACACGTGCATGCAGTTGTGATTTAGTGAGAGCATGCGTGATGGGGGGGGGGGGGGATGATGGGAGGGTTTCTGAAAAGCTGCACCTGAGTCACATGGACAGGCACGGCTCAGAAAGTTTCTGACAACTGACAGAAATTAATCGCAGGTGGATCACGGGGCTGTCACCTGCTGGGACAAAAATACCGAGCTCCATCAACAGTCTTCGCCGCGGGACAGCTGTCCCTCTGCAAGAAGGGTTAGTTAGTCGCCTCACCCATCCACACGTCCCCGAAGCAGCCCTGTCCCAGCTTCCTTTGCATGGACAGCGTTTCCCTCGACACCTCCCAGGCGTCCCGCCCCAGACCCAGCGTGAGGGGGGTGGAGTTGGGGCAGGGCTTGGTCAGGTAATAGCACAACCCATCGTTAGATCCTGAGAGGAGAAACGGGCGGGAGGAAGAGGAAGGAAAAGTGGGAGAAGGGTGGGAAGATGGTGGAGAGATGGAGGGAGGAGGGGGGGGTGATAGAAGAGTGATGTGAGCTCATGCACATGCAACCACGGGGGACAAGGAGAAACCACGCAGCACACCTGGATGTGAAACGCTGACTCAGCTTTTTATCTCCATTTTTTTTATTTGGTCTCAGAAATTAAACCTCAGCTTATTTCCTGTTTGTTTGGAAGATTTTCTCATGATTAAATATAAAAACTCAAACCCGCTAGTCAGGCATGCTGCTCATACTGTCCTCCCCCTCCCCCTCCAACAGACCCCCACCAGCCCTACCCATCCAGACTTCTCCAAACTGGCCGTTTCCCAGTTTCTTAATCAGCTGGAGAGACTCGCGGGGAATCTCCCACATATCCTTGGTCTTCACCGATAAGTCGGCCAGCTTAGGCATACCTCGCTTACAGCTGCCAATCAAACTGCAGCAAAGTCCGGCTGCTCTCTCTGAGAGACGGAGACAAAGCAGGAAAAAGAGGGCACAAGGAAGCAGAGCGAGCACACAAAGAGACAACGGGACAAGCTGTTTAGATGCAAAAACAACCACAAGTCAAGCAAACATGTAATTAGATTACTAATGTATTTTTCCGTTTGCAGGTTCGGCCACTAGGAGGCAGAGTAACACCGACAGGCAGCAGAGGAAATGCAACATGTTGTCTCACAACCTGTGAAACAAGCTGATAATAATTAGCAAAACGTATCAAAGACAACAGAAAATTCTGTGTTTTGTGCTTCTAATCAAGATGGAGGATCTTTTTCCTCCTTTTTACAGACATTTTTCTGGTTTTAGAACTAATTTAAGGCCCGATTTTTCAAACTAAAGTTGCTATACAGAGAGCCAAGAGCAAACAGAGAAAAGGAAGTAGGATGTTGCACATAAAGTGAACCTAATTTGCACAGAACCTAATTTATTCGCTGACCGAGTTGCAAAAATGATCCAGACAGACAGAAATGAGGAAGTGGAAGGGGGAGGAGCTTGGCAGAAAGGTGTGCTACCTGTGTAGTGATCCACCAGCTGCTGAACAGTGTCGAACTGGGACCTGGTGGTGATGTAATAACCACCGTTGTCCAGTTTACGGATCTTATAATGCTTGACGTGATCTCCCTTGTTGTCGTCCCAGTCGCGGATGGAGAGAGAGTAGGCGCCTGTAAGACGGGGGATGGGGGGGATGGACTCGTTAGTCTTCCAGAGGCAGAGGGGGAGTATTTAAAGGCGTTCTCTCCTCACCCTTGGTGGTCTCGCTCTCTCGTATGAGGAAAGTTCCTCTCGGGTTCCCCGGAGCCAACAGCTGTCTCTCTGCATCCTTCCTCCCCATCTTCCCAAAATACCACCTGTCGTCAAGGAAACAACACTCAGGTGGCAGCAGCAGCAGCAGCAGCACTTGACCTCTGCCTTCGCACTACATCGCAATCACTGAGGGAATCTTAAAGCATGCACTTAAACTGTCAATCCACACATGAATGTGAGTGTGTGTGTGTGTTTGTGTGTGTGTGTGCACTCACTCCTCGGCCTGTATAGAGTCAACAGGAGCTACGTAGTTGGAGGGGATGTAACCCGTGTGGCCGGTGTCCAAAGAGCGAGCTTCCCACCAGTCGCCTTCGCTAAAAGCATTAAAAACACGACACCATTTTTTGTCTAAATAAAGATTTTGGACAAAAAGTTCAGGAAGTCATCGCAACACAAAGGTCTAACTTTGCCGACATGTTGCACAACTCCTCTCCGTGGGTTGTCTTTCAGTGGAAAATCAATAACAGATCATCTTTCTGTTGTCGCTGTAATAATACCGTACTGTAGGTGTTATCTTTGTTTACAGGGTTAGGGTTTTCTGAAGTCAACAGGATGCAAGATGGCGGCCACGGCAAACGTAACAAAGGCTAAACTTCTGGTTATTTTACAGAAATTAAGCTAAAAATTTTGAGTCAGAATAGCAGGGCTATGCCTGATTCATGCTTCTCCGTCAGCTCCGCAAGGGACAGACACGCACGGACTGACGGAAGCGTTTTGCCCTCATACGTCTCCGTCTCCTGGGGAGTGTTGCAAAGCAATTCCCCGCCAGGACACCAGAGGGCGCAGCGCTGTTCTGTGGTATCCTGTCATGTATCGGTCCAAGATAGTGTTTATATTGTGTTTTTTTGCATATAAGAGACTTTTTAACACAGACAAATTTGTCTCTCATCCTCCTCCACCTCTTCATGCGCTCGCCACCTCTAAACCCACGTTTCCTGTCATTTCCGTCCACAAATAAAACGCTTGCTGTGCATCTTGTCACTCCTCCAGTCACGGGGAAATTAAACGTTCATATTTTAGAGTTTTTTCGCGAAGTATTCTTCAAGCTTCTCTGTCGCTAGTTCTACTCGGCTCTCTTTATGTTTTTGAGGGCGCAATGGCGGCGGTGTAGACAACAGCGGCGTCCTGACCAATCACAAGCTTGCGTTGCCCGTCTCGACTGACGGATGTTTAGAAAAGAGAGCTCGACTCCGTCCGTCCTTGCGGAGCTCTCCGGCAGGCCCGCAAGGATGATGCGTGTCTCCGCACTGACGCAGACGGAGAAGCACGAATCAGGCCTTAGTCACTAAATAAACTGAGCACTAGCAGAATTCAAAAAGCAAAATAAAATTTCCTTATTTTTTTAAGACATTAAGAGTTGGAAGAAAAATTATTAAATTTAATATTAAATTTAACAATATGAGTTATAATATTATTAAGGAAACTATTAAGTAAGGTGATAAGGTTCAACTTTAATTCAAGCATTCAGGGGCGGTCCTAGGGGGCATCCAGGATGGGCCAGTGATACCCAGTTTGGACCCCCCTGTGGCCCCCCTTGCTAAGGACTGAGCCTAGGCTTTACATTTTTGAGCATTAAAGCAGTTATAGCAACAAATGAGATGATAACATTTTATCATGCCTCTTAAAGTTTTAACACAGATTAGCTCCAAATATATTGTTCAATTTTTTTTAATGTAATAAATAAGTATAAAGTGATTCTCTTGCATTTGTCTAAAAAACCCTACGCCAGTTACCCATTTCGGGCTGAAAGCAACCACTGGACCATTCATTTCTCTGCTCAGTGAGATCAGGGAAGGAGAAACAGCCGGCTGCTACCACTTCAACTTTAGGACAAACTACCGGAGTCCCAAAAAGAGAAACACCAATTGACGTTGCAGACAACTAAAGATGTTTGGACCTCGAAAACTGCGACTGGTGTTTAGCGCTCTCTTGTTTCCTCTGGCAGAATTGAGCTAAACTTTGGTGCTGCAGTAGCCGAGTCATTACCAGCACCTGCTTCGTGCACTAACAAATTACAGTTTCGCAATTGGACCAAGTTAGCCCAAATTTCAGCAATTTTCAACATGAGGAGGTCTTTAGTTTGTGAACGTAGCCCCATCAAACATGGCTCCAAACCCATGGCCACTCACGTGTTGTTGATGATTTGGAATTTCTCTCCTTTCTGGAAGGTGAGATCATCTTCGGTACGAGCGTCGTAATCGTACAAAGCTATGAAGAGGGTGACCGCAACTGCAAAAAAATCAGATTACAGATAGGTGTTATTCTACAAGTAGGACGAGAAAGCGTTTGTTCTCCGTTCTGAGAGCGCTGTAGCCTGCACACGCACCCACCCACCCACCTGATCGACTGTGTGTGTTGGTGTTGGTGAAGGAGGTGTTGAAGCTGGGCTTGTTGAAGTCTGGGATGGCCTGAGTGGGGTCGGGACAGTAGCGGCCCTGAGCCGAGGCCCCCAAGGACCCTCCATCTGCGTTGGTCAGGTCGTTAACATCTATCGTTGCTGATGGTGCTGCTATCGACTTGGCAGACTTCTGCTTGCAACAGGTACACCCCATAATAACCTGCACAAAGACCACGTCTGCAGAAGCAAGCATGCAGATTTGATCTCATGCACCATGGAAAAGATAAGTCACAGCCTGAATAATCAAATGACTAACATCAATGACATCATAAAGGTGTCAAATTAAGAGCTGCTAAGTTGATCTATTTTCAGTTCAAATCTTTCATTTAACCTTCAGATCAAAGCTGGCGGAAAGTGAAAGGAACTTCCGTTACAGACAGAGGTCCAAATAACCATGGAGAGAGAGAGAGAGGTCGCAAACTTTAAATTTAAACTTCCCTTAAAGGAGGAGGAAGGAGAAGTTCACTTTTTCCTCACCCGATATCTTCCTCTGTCAGATCATCTGTCAATCACCATCGCCACCGAAAGAGAGAGGGAGGAGCTGAGTGACAGCGGCTGGAATGAGAGAGAAAAAGGGGATGAGGGGTGGAGGAAGGAGATCGGGGATGGGGACGGAGGCCTGAGAGAGACGAACCGTGGAAAAAAAGAGATGTGGGGAGGCAGAGGAGTTAGAAAAGAGATAGACAGCCCGAGATAGGGACAGACGGAGAGAAGTGTGAGGTTAGCCACTTCCCCTTTTGCTCTGCTGTGTGTATTCATACACACTCCGGTCAACAGCTGTGTGTGTGCATGAATGTGTGTGTGTGTGTGTGTGTGTGTGTGTGTGTGTGTGTGTGTGTGTGTGTGTGTGTGTGTGTGTGTGTGTGTGTGTGTGTGTGTGTGTTGAAATGTAAATGTCATCATTAGAGAGGGGGTAACTGACACAAAGTGACTGTCGATGACTGCATGTAGAGATCATTGTGTCAACGTGAACTCAGTGTGAAAACCTGACTTCCACTTTTCTGAAAGCCACATTTTGTTCAAGCAGAAAACAGCCGAGTCCAGAATGAGGGGGAAATAACGTCCAGAGAAAACAGGTTTAAGAACAGGAGGCACCTAGAGCTGATGAATTTTGATAAACTCAGATTCTTTTTAAAACACCAGAAGAGTTTATTTGGTGCTCTAAAACAAAAACTTTGCTCGTTGGTTTAAATTCCCTTCTTGGGTATTAATATGTACTTTGTGCATTTATTAGGCTTAGTCCATTAGCATAGCATTAAATCTGCAACCTTGATCATGAGGAATTCACAAAGCTAAAGGATAGCAGCTAGCCGGTACAAAGCTAGTTGTAATTTCTAATTTACAAAACTAGCTTTTCCAGAAACATTTTGATATATAAAGGTGCATTTAGAGTGCTGAACAATTTAGCATTAATAAAACTATTTCAAAACTATACTCATTATAGAAAAAAAATCAATTGTGGCACTTAGCCACTTAGCACAGCGCAACGTCTAGAAAAGCAGCTAACAGCAAACAGCTAGCTTTGCTTAATTCATTTGTTTAATGCATTTTAAATTTTTAAATTCTGTTAAATTTTTAATTACAAAATCATTGTAAGAATTGTGTTACTGTAGCCATTTAGCTTAGCAAATAGACCGGAAAATAAAAGCTAACAACTAGCAGCTAGCCTTGCTTGGTCTAATAGTGGCAATATTGGTTTAATGCTTTTTTGTTTTTACTTACCGGTAGTTTTAAGAGTTTATTCAGAGCACTGACCAGAATTAAAGCAAGAAAAGTAGTAAATAATTAAATTTAATCAAAAGATTTCCATGAGGATTCTATTGCATTGGCCAAAAATGTTAATACGATTAGTTTAATTTCCTTTTAATTGATAGCTGTCTAAAAGAAAATTTGTTTAGCTGTGCTTTCATTAAAAATGTTAATATAATGCTGGTGGTTTAGTATGTAGTGATTTTATAAAGGTATCATTTTTTTAGAAGGTTGTTTCGCAAAACAAGTTTCCAGCGGTACTTAAAGAGCAAGTCAACCCCTGCCAGAGTCTAACCCCAAGATTCCACTACCTCCGCTCCGACCCCGCCTTCCGCAGCCGCTCGCTTCCGAACTCAATTTTTACTGGAACCTGCTCTACAACAGCTCCGCTCCTGTGCGGAGACCTGAGGTGCGCAAACAGGCATGCGCAGAATTTTCGAGATCTTGTGATACAGTCCGAGCAATAAACGCGGAAGTTAGATCCAAACACCCGTTGTGTGGGAGAAGCATCGAAATGAACTGTTTAATCTGCCCATCATTTGTGTTGAGAGATCAGCAGTGTTTGGATCAACAAAGTGTGACTACTTTGATAGTGGAAACTGTATTTATGGCTTACTTTTGTGCATTTAAAGTTCAGCCACCATTGATAGTTGTTAAAAGTTGTTAAACCTGTGCATATGAAACGAAAACGCTTTTTGTTTATGGATTTATTGTGAAATAACGGAAGTTGTGCTTGCTCCCTTTCCTGTTGGGCGGTTGTGATTTCTGTCCATTGACTGCGGAGGTGCTCTGGCGTCCGGCAAAAATAGAATCGATCCTATTTTTGCCGGATGGCGGAACGGCGGGCGGCGCACTGCGCTGCACGGCCGCAGTAGTGGAACAGCTCTGATGGACTACAACGGGACCGATTTTGCTGCGGAGTTCGTGCCGGAGCGGAGCGGAGGTAGTGGAATTTTGGGGTAACTCCACTCCCACTTCATATTTGAAAAATGCAACAAATGCTGTTGCCTGGCAGACCAAGAGGGCGGAGCTGCTAACAAATACACACACACACAGGCTCACGACAGCATTGTGACATCATAATGTACCAGTTTACATCATAGCATACCTCTTAGCCAACAGCGGTGGCAGATTTAAATTAAAATACAGTGCAGAGTTTTTACCTGACAACGGCACAAGACTGCCAGTTTTAGGCAGAATATTTAAATTTGAACTAAGATGCACTCAAGTGCCAAATTATTGACGACACGTGTCTGCAGCACGATTAGACACTCGTTTATTTAGTTTATCTGCAAAAAAAAAGTTTATTTGGGGGTGACTTGCTCTTTAAACCTTTGATATGTGATGTATTTGACTGATATAAGGAACAGGACACTTCCTGTAAATTCACAATTCTACTTTTTTATTATTATGAAAATGAGCTGTTTTCAGCATAGCTGTGGGTAAATGAGAACGTGTTTCAAAGGGCATTTCCTGCCTTGGGTAATGATCACCAGTCTACTTTGTCAAAACAAACACACACACACACACACACACACAAAACCACACCTGCTGAAGACACACGATTCATAAACTCTTTTGAAGCTGATGTTTTTGAAAATTTGTTGATTATCTTTGGCTGAAAAGCAGGAAAAGATGCTAGAAGAAGCCAGTAAACCCAATGCCAACACAGAGCTAGGTGTAATGTGGTGTTGGGACTCTAACCTGCAACCTTTCTGGCTAGCTAACCTACAGGTCATTTAATAATGAATGCAGGGGAATGTAGGGTTGTTTACTATAAACAAATGAAAATTACAGAATTTAATTTTATCAATGCAAAAACCTAAAATTCTTCTCAAGGTGTCGCTCACACCCCTCCAAAATGTGCACCAGCTTTTATTTATATATGGGATGCACAAGCGTGCACGCCCCTTCACTATCAGGCAGGCCATCGTGAGAGTTACAGGAAGTCAGCTCTGTTAGCGTTTCCTGTCCACCCCTCTGATGGCTCCCCCCTTAATCCTGGAAACTGAAGCCAAAATCCATCACACGCCCAACGCAGCTGCAGAGCTGCATGCACCCCCATACAGCTCTGCAGCAAACACCTCCTCCATCCATCGCTCCAAGCAGGAAGGAGAAGTGGTGGAGGGCGTATTGGAGGCTCCTTCCCTCCATCCCAACCTTCTCTCTGTCGAATCTCTCAACTCTTCATCTGTTTTCTGCTGTTCTGAGAGTGAAAGATGACCATAAACAGGAGGGATACAATAAACACACACACACACACACACACACACACACAGGAAGTGTTTTCAGCCATATCAGTCATTGTTCTCCGTTAAGTTCCTGTTAACCAGATACTCCTGCTCTCACCTCCTCTTCCTCTCCGAGCTGTAAAAGCTGCAGCTATAATCCAGATTATCAGAGGCACATTTATAGAGTTTTTTTTAAACTTTAGAGCTTTAACATTGCTCTCAGTGATTGTTGAGTTGGAAACTTGACCAATTTCATATTTGACACCACTCTGCAGACCAAAAACCACATTAGATAGTTTTGTGGAGTGGGCAGGTGTTCTATAGGGGGAGCTCTTTACCTGCTTGACGGTTATTAGCTTTTATGCTAGCAGTTAGCTTGTTTCGTTTGCCAATTGTCAATAAAAAGCACAAGAAGAAGAAAAAGGTTGTTTTTGCTGAGAGCAATCTCTTTGGAGTTGAAGCAAAGAGCTAAAAGCAGAGTGAACATCAGCACAGCCTACGCTAGCTTGACGGGGGCTAAAGGGGGCTACAAAATCATGAACTGATGGTGACCTGGCTTTGTTGCTACGGGACTTGTAAGTAACAATATTTTTTGTCCAACAGTAGGGATCTTTTTACTTTGTGGTTTATTTTAGTATTAGTTGGCTCATGATAGTATTAGCTTGTTAGCGCTAGCTACTCAATGTTACTTTAAATGATAAATGACCCGCACTTGTATAGCGCCTCTCAGAGTAAGGACTCCAAGGCGCTTTACACTACAGTGTATCATTCATCCATTCACACACACATTCACACACTGATGGTGATGAGCTACGATGTAGCCACAGCTGCCCTGGGGCGCACTGACAGAGGCGAGGCTGCCGAGCACAGGCGCCACCGGTCCCTCCGACCACCATCAGCAGGCAAGGTGGGTTAAGTGTCTTGCCCAAGGACACAACAGCAGAATTCTCTGTCCGGAGCCGGGATCGAACCTGCAACCTTCCGATTACTGGACAACCCGCTCAACCTGTTCAGCAGCTGCTGCCCAAATCAAATAAATGAAATGAAATAAAACTCCACAGAATTTTTTTTAAATAAAAACAGAGGTGAACATACATCTGCACATGTTTTCGTCAGTTCGGTTGTGTGTGTGTGTGTGTGTGTGTGTGTGGGGGGGGGGGGGGGGTCGGTCAAAAGAAAGCACAACTTGCTGAGTTCCTTCTGGTTACTAAATTTTTTTATCAGAAGATAAATATTCAGCTGTTTAGATCCATCATTTGATCTAAAACTACCCGTGCAGATTTCAGATTACTCATCTGGCCTCTTGACTGCAGCAGCAGAAAAACATTTTTATTTTTTTATTTTTAATGCAACGACACACGAACACAAAGAAATCATTAGAATAGCCTGTAGCTGCTTCCTCTGCTGAGGAGAAGTGAGATGCTGCTGACTGATAATTCTATTTTGTCTGCAACAAAGAAGGGTTTTTATTTCTGTCACAGCAAAATTACTCACAGCTTTGACATTTCTCGTACCCGTTTGGTGGTTTCAACACAGTTTCAGAATTCAACACCTCGCCACCAGAGACGAGCTCTCTGGGTAAAGGTGGCCGTGCTGCTCAGCGTGGTCAGCGCCGCAAACTAGGTCAGACTAAAATGGATGTAGACCTCTAAGGCAGATTAGCATGTTTCCCAGAACATCAACGAGGGAATAAATAATCCCATCAATAAACTGAAGTTAGTTAAAAAAGGTCATTTTTAGGAAACTGGAATTACCGAACCTTCAGACTTCCTTAGTCTATTTTGTTAATTAAATCCAGTAAATGCAAATATAAACAATACATCTACAGTATTTTTTAAATTCTTGCAAATAATGTGACATTTTAACACTTTTATCTTATTTCTAATGATTTTTTTACCAAAATTTGGACATTTTAGACCATTTTTTTTCCAAAAAGGTGCTCTAAAGTTTATTGTTTTAAATCCATCCACACCAAGACGACCGAGAGCAAAGAATAAAACTTCTAACATTTATGTTTTCCTAAAGTCTGGCCCCTGGCATCTAAACCCTTTAGATTATTGTGGAATTGTTGCAGGCGAAGTCCAATCCCAAAGTTTTCCTCATCTGAAAAAGTTTCCAGCCAGAAACTTTCCTCTGATTGGTCCAGATTATTTCATTTCATCTCATCAGACCAGATTATGTCAAGAAAGGGGAAATGATTAAAACTCCTCCTGGCTCTTGGGTGTGAGTGTGTATGATTGTTTGTCCTGTGTGTCTCGGTGTTGCCCTGTGATGGACTGGCTCTCTGTCCAGGGTGTACCCCGCCTGATTGCCCGTTGACCGCTGGAGATAGGCACCAGTCGTCTCCCACCCCCCGTCCCAACGTGGACAAAGCGGGTTCAGACAATGGATGGATTAATGGATGGATGGATCACTATTTGGCACCCCTGTTGCAGAGGAAGGTGTGTCTCCTGCAGGAGTTCTGCAGAACCTCCTGCAGCCGCTCCACGGCCCCGGGTACCGCTCTGTTTGTTCAGTCTGAACAATTACAGGAAGCAAATAATTTCTGACCTAAAAACCAGCGGCGTTCCAATAAAATCACAATAACATCAGCCCCCATCGCCGTCGTCACACTCGCAAACATCCAGAACCAAACGACACACCCTTTCCTGTCCAAGGAGCTGCTGATAAGCTGCTCCCAGGGGGGGAAACCAGCTCCACATAATCTCTGATTTTAGTCCCTTTATTTTCTCCATTTTAATGACGATTCAGATTACAACACCTTACAGATCCCTTCCCCTCCTTTTACCTCCTCTTTTCCACCTTTCTCTCCTGCCTTTGCTCCATGAGCAGGAAACTCAACAGGATGCAGAATGAGAGTGGGGCGGGAATGATAGGACAATGGGAAGCAAGCTGTCACTGAACCCTCTCACACACTCAGAGGAGGTACACACTCCATCAGAGGGGAGCTCGAAGGGAACAGTGGAAAACACGGGGATGTCCTGTTAGATGATGTCATCATATCCTCTAGCTGCAGATGGACTGTTGCTAAGGACACAAGAAGCAAGTTTTATTCCCAAAGTCTGACCCTGTCTTGGGAAATAAAGCCTATTTCTGTTTCCTCCAACTGAGCCTGGAGGTGCAGGGCTTTACCCTGGGTGAGTGTCCAACTGGTAACGTCCCAGTTTCTAACCTTCTCCCAGAAGAAACCACATCCTTGTCCCTTCCTGCTGAGCCCGAGGCCAAAGACAGGAACTGACCTCGAAAAGAAACAGGAAGTGATGGAGCTCAGCCTCGGATGGACCAATCGTGATTTTCTCCTTCTGATTTTCTACATCGCTGCCAATTTTAAACTTAAATTTATCCAAAAAAACAAGAAAAGAACCCGCCTCAGAGCTGAATCAGTGGCTTCAAGCTACAGAAACAGCTCGGATGAACGGGAATGTTGAGGAAAGAAGGCAGTCCAGCCTTTTCCTCAAGGTGGTTTCCTGTAGGCGTGGAGCCAGATGAATCACATTACAGCACAAAACACCAGTAGAAAAAACTAATTTACATCAGAAAAGTTAATAAAATATCAAAAAGTATTCGTGACATTAGAATAAAACATCTTCTATGAAGGAAGTGGTGTCAAAAAGTCTGGAAAATGTCCACATTTTTGACATTTTAACCATTTCTAAACAACATCCTCTCTGGTTCATTGTGAAGAGTGGAAGTTCTGATAATCAGCAGTCATCAACTTCTAAACTACAGCAGAACTTCCCTTTTATTATTAAAAAAAAGACCTTACACACAAAAAAACACACGAACTCCTTCAAAATAAAGCTTTGATAAAGTATTTTACACACCCCGGAGTGATTTTAAATCACTTAATTAGATTTTTTTTGGTTCATACGCAAAAGAAACTCCACAGAAGGTTGTTTGTCACATTTAAAGCCTGAGAAAGGCGCCGTTACCTTTTCAGCCACAACACCTGGGTGTTCGGCCTTCTTGATTTAAGGTCGTATCTGGAGTTGCTGCGGTAGCTGGAGACGGGGGGATCCTGCCGGTGTCCGGTGACCACGGAGAAGAGTCGCGCGCTGCCAAGCCGCCGAAGTGAAGGAAGAGACGAGTGCGCGTGCCCTTCCGTACGCGCCTCACGCGCACACCGAGGGCCAGCCCTGAGGAAGGCGCGCTGTAGAGAACAGCCTCTTTAAATTATTTACAATAAAAAATTAAACATCGCATTGGTGACGTCACAATTGATCTATCCAACCCGGAAAAAGTTTATCGAACCGGATTTAGCATCAGATAAGCGACAAATGCACATCAGCGCTTAAGTTTTGTGATAAAAATCTTTGTCTTCTAAAACTAAATCGTGTTAATAAATGAACACAACAAACCCCCTGAAACCGACGCTCACCGGTGCTGCTGACTGAAACCGGGTGCTCGCAGCAGCTGGGCTCCGGGTGGGTGCGCCCGTGCACGCGCGCTACTGGGTGGTGTGAACGACAGGAAGGAGACACAGAAAAGTGTGATATCCGCGAGCAGCGGCAAAAGCAGAACGTAGACTTCTAAAAATGGCTGGAAAACTTCTCACTTCGCTCTGCCTCTCCTTTTTTTATCATGTGAAGTTTGAATATTTAAAGTTGTGAGGGGAAAATGTTGCCGCTATAATAAAATAACTGTTGAGTCCACAGAAAGCAGGTTGTTTTAATGTGATATCTGCTGCCATCTTGTGGCCTTATCATGCAACTATAAAATCTACTTTTAACCCGAGTTCGTGTCTGAAATAAAATAAAAACACAAAACAGCTCATTTATTGATAAAGTTACTTTATTTCATATAAAAATACAAGTTTTTTTTTCAAACTCAGCATTTTAACTGCAGACAAAGAACTGAAGCTTAATGCTTTGGTGAAAACAAACACAACTTTTCTTAAAATCGTTTTCTGACGTCAGACGAGACTAAGTGTAGATATGATGTGTGCAAGATATCCAGGGAGGGCAGATCCAGTCAGAACTTGGTGCAAAGTAGGTTTTTAGATGCATCCACGTTTGCAAAGCAGCATGAAGGTATTAACACTGACTCATACGATAAGCACGATGAGCGTGTGAGACGCCGTCATCTCATGTAGTAGGTGATGGCTCGTAGGGTGTAGAGGAGCGCCGCCTGCAGCCGAGCCTCCATCACTATTAGGTTAGCGTGAACCTGCAGAGAGAAAAGACACGTGGATACCTTTAGGTGGCCAGGTGAAACATTTTCTACTCCCTTCTCTGGTGACATTTGAGAGGGAGGAGGAAAAAGAAAGGACTTTTCAAAATGTCAAATGATTCAGTCGCTGTAGAGGAGGAATGTCAAGCGAATCGTGACAGCAGAGGTCACGCTGGGACAGGCTCACACCTTTTCAGAGTGTCTGAAGTGCCTCCAGAAGGCGTGGTAAATGCGCGCCGTGGTCTGCTCGGGGTGGCAGGCCATGGTTTTGACAAACACCTTCAGCGAGCGCTCCAGCAGCACGTTCACGCCGCCGTAGTCGTAGTCGTCGTAGCTGCAAGCGTGCAGGGCGACGGTTTATTAAAAAAAACAGAAAGAAAGAAAACTGCGGCGTCGGCTTGATTCTGAAGATCAGGCGAGAGCTGAGGACTCACCGGATGCCGTAGAGGCAGTGGATGTAGTTCCACAGCGCTTTTCTCAGAGTGCACGTGTCCACGTCCTCGTGCATGGCCATCCTGTGGTACGTCAAGCCGCTCACGACCTGCAACGTTGCATCAGAGTTCAGGTTTTTCTGCTGAATGCAGAAGAAACTACAGGTGCAGCATCAATTACAGAGAATGCTGCAGCAACCAAAAAAGAACTGAAGTACTCGTATTACTACTAGTAGTCCTACTGCTGTGGTAATCACCAAAGAGGAAACGACTCCAGGAGTTGGTTTCAGGGCCTGAATCGTTATGACATCATCCTTGGATGATTTATTACTCTTCAAACAATTTAAGCGATTTTTGAGGACTTGGATTTGTTGCTGGAACGAGGTTTTACCTGGAACTTCTCATCCAGAAGCTGACCCATGTCTGGCAGCAGCCTGTTGACCAGAGAGAACCCGTGGTCCTCCCAGGAGTAGTCCTGCAGGCGACATCGTCACGCCGTTAGAACAAACCACCCAAAAGTAAAAGTGAGGACGAGCGGGAACCAACATCCGACCTGCGCTCGCATGATGTGCGGCGACTGCTCTCCTCGGGGGGCGAAGTCCTCGTATCTGAACTCCGGTTCCTCCACAAGACACAGCACCAGGCCGGGTGGAGCTCCTCGCACCAGCGCTGCACAAGCCCACAAACACGAGTCAGCAGAAATCAGGCGCAACTATGCAGAGCTCAGGTGTGTCCGCCGCACCTGTTGGTATGCTCTCGCTCCTCTCCCTCTCAAAACGAGTGACCATCTCCTCCTGCGTGCACTCCTGCTGCTGCTGCAGCTCCACCATCCTCTTCATCAGCAGCTCCACCTCCACTTCTCCGTCCACCAGCTGGAGGAAACCAAAAACAGCGATTTTATTAACGACTGGCCGTGTCAGGAGCTCTGGCGGAACTGGTTCGACCGCTCGCCTCGGGCCTGCCGTCCTCGTGAGCCGGGCTGTGAGGGCTGCGGGGAAGGTGACCGGGCGACGAAGGCTGGAAGGTGTAACCTCCAACGTGGTCGGGCTCGGGGTTCAGGCCACACCCCCACACGAAGGAGCAGAGGGAGTGTGTGTGCGCCATCAGGATCACGGCATGGATCAGTTCTGCCAGGGACCAGCGGGGCTCGGCTCCAGGACTCACCAGCTCCTGCCGGGCAGAGGGTTCGGGGGTTTAGCGATGAAATATGAGATGTTTATAGTGAAACTAAGAATAAAGATGCAGAAAAATGTGTAAAAAGTGCATCAGTTACACTAAAACATGCAAAAATGTGGTTTTTCCCCCTCATCACATTAAAAAACTGATAAACTCTCAGAACAATGTGGATTTGAGCAAAAATTAACATAAAAAAATGTGTCTGAAGTGCTAAAAATAGACGTATTTGTTTAGTAAAAATCACCACCTAGACGCAGAGCTGCTGACAGTAAACACAAACTTTGTTCCCTCAGCAAATTCACGTTTAAAGACGCGCTTTAGAAAGGCTGATCTTAGACCAGCTGCTGAAGGTGTTCAAGGTTTTCTTCTGCAGGAATATCCGTGCCGAGAAGATCGGACTGTAGTGGAGCGGGTCGAAATCCCCCGATCCGTGCATGACACGCTCCGGAATGATGCAAACGGCTGAAACCAACACGGGCGACTCCCAACAGGAAGCAGCGAATGAGTCAGAGCGGCTGTGAGCTCAGAGACGAGTTCAAAAATAAATCGTTTCACGATTATTTGACAGAGTGTGAGCGAGAGAGTGAGAGCGAGCGCGGAATTGGAAGCAGGCTGCGAGTGGGCGAGCGAGCGGGCGGTGCGTCTGACCTGGATGTGCTGCTGTGTAATGAGCCAGGGTCTGTGCGCCAGCAGCTTGTTGAGTGTTTGCAGGCTGCGGAGCTTGGTGGGGGCGTGCCGGAGGCTGCAGAGCCAGCCCTCCTCTCCTCCGGCCTCCAGGAAGCCGGCGCTGTGCTGATGGACCAGGTAGGCACAGTGGTGGCGAGCTGCAGCCTGGAAAAGTGCTCAGAGGTTACGGCTGAGAACAACAACAGCAACGAGTGCAACATTTTAAAATAATCAGAAATGTGAGGATTGTTCACTTTCAGGGCAGAAAGACCAAAAACACACCCGCTCGCTGGCGTGTGAACAAGCTAACAGCTACAGGAGAAGCACTGGTTTTGCTTTAGGGTTCATTTGTTTAACCAGATGAGTGGATGGATGGTGGGATCGGGACTCATCTCACCAGGATAGCGATGTAATGTCTCCAGTGACAAGGCAAGGGCCCGTCCAGCTCCAGCAGCGCGTGCTGGGTCCTCTGGTAGCAGCTGAGGTAGGCCGGGTGGAGCGCCATGACCATGGTGAGGTGGTCCACGCGACCCAGAGAGAGGAACGACTCAATCAGGATGTCCTGGTTCGGCCCGTCGATCAGCAACTGGGGAGGGAAATGGGAATGAGCGGATTCTTCTCCTTCTTACAAGAACATGAACCAACTGCAGTTTCATGCATGATCTGGAAAGAAATCACCCCAGTGGAACCCGTTGGACAGGATGAAGCAGGCTGAAAGATCTCAAAAAGCAGCACAGCGTGACTCGTTCGGAACTAAATCAAGACTAAATCCCAGGACAACCTCTACAGCCCTCGATTAAGGTCAGCTCACGGTTCAGCAATATGAAGCCGATCAAACACACAAACACCGGTCTCGCATTTACTAAAAATGAAATTAAAAAAACATCTTGATACCAACATTTCTGGTAAATGTTGTTTGGACGGACTAGAAAAACGCAGAATCTTCTGGAAAGGTGCATGTTCTGTTCCGTCTGTAACCAAAACACCATAGCAAAGGTCAGGCACGGTGGTGGTAGTGTGATGGCCTGGGGCTGCTCTGCTGCTTCAGGACCACCTGTTTGTTGTAACTTATGGAACACCCCGAAGGAAAAAGTTTCACCTTTGACGTTAAAACAGGCTGTTCCGGCTTTTAAAACCTCCAACGTGGCAGAATTAAAACTGTTCTGCAAAGAAGCAATGTGGGGGCTCTACCGGGACACCCAGAGGAAGGAACACATGAGGTAAAGTTCACGTTTTTACATCAAGCACAGCGGGTATGTACCTCTTTAGCTGGAATAAAAGCACTCGGACCAGAAGCCAAGGCTCGAGGTACATTAATCCCTTCTTCCTGCAGATGAAAGAACAGAAAGAAAGCTTAATAAAATATTTATTCTGATGAGAATAAAATAACACCCACAACAGGTCAGCCCAAACACTTTGCAAACGTGGTCTTCAAATAGCCTGTTGCACTTGGCCAGCAGCCTAAAACCAACATAAACTGAGGACATAAACTGAGGTCACCTTCATCACATGAACCCTCAACCAGCAGAAGAACCTCCTAGGTGACAGATCATCTGCTGCTGTGGCCCCCAGACTCTGGACCTCTCTCCCCCTGAAGCTTGGTTTATGCTTGACGCGTTCACTTTCCGCTTGGTGATGCGGCTCGCGGATGGAACGCGCTTCACAACTCGCAGCGTTTATGGTTCGTGCGGCTCGTCTCTGCGGTGAGCCAATATTCTCCCAAACTGTAGGGGGCAGCACGGAGCTCTACGGCATGCATCCAACACTACACCATAGTAGAAGTAGAAATTACTGTTTACAACATGGCATTCCAGCATTTTTAACAGCGTCCTCGTCTTTTCTGACAGTGCGAGCTATTTCTCTCCAAGAATTATTAACAACATGTTGATCACGGTGATCTCTGAGAGCTGAATCATACAAATGTCTGTATTTACGAACCTCTGCCATACTAGTTCTTGCCGGTCCGCCATGTTTTTCCGCGTCCGACCGTCCGCGTGGTTAAAAATTTTCCGAGGTGCGCGTTGCGGAAATTCTGGGCCGTGCGGAGGCGCGGTGGAGGGGCGTGGTTGTTAAAATGACGCAACTTTTCCGCGCGGACGCGTCAAGCATAAACCAACCTTGAGCCTGAGATCAGTGGACTCAGTGGTCTTTAAAAAACAGCTGAAGACTCACTTGTTCAAGCTGGCTTTTGTATGACCTTCTTCACCTCTCTCTCTTTATTCTGCTCTCCCCACCTATTCCACCTTCCTCAGGATCCACTGATTTCCCTCTTTCCTGTTCACTCTCTCTCTTTCTTTACATTTTGTTTATTTTTTTATCACAATTGTCTATTTTTTGCTAATTTTAAATATATTTTTAACCATTTTCTTAATTCTTTTTTTATATTTTTACATGTTTCGTTTTTGTGAAGCGCCTCGTGATTTTTATCTTTAGAGGCGCTTTAGAAATGATATTTTCTACTTCTTCTATGTTTTGGGAACTTAGAAATAAATGAAGTTTTCCAGACAGCTGAACATTATGGCACCCATTCACAAACCTTTGACGATTGTTTAAAATCTGGATTATTCTTTGACTGGAGGAAAATAAAAATAAAAAACAAGCATTTACAAGCTAAGTTAAACAATTTTCTTTTTATGTTTATTTTTATAGTACAATCCACGTTAACTGGACCAGGAGGGTTCTGGTTCTGACTGGGGCAGCTAAACAGGAGAGCTGTTTCATAAGGCCCCGAAAAAGGCGCAAACCGAGCGTCAGACTCACCGACATCAGCGCAACCGAAAGAGATCCACTTAAAAATCAAACTTCTGGTCAAAGGTGAACCGCGTCCCGCACGTAGGCGCTCAGTGGGCTTCTGGAAGCTTCAAGGCTCGGGGAGGGGGTGTGTCTGGAGGGGGCGTGTCCCCGGTTAGACACACCGAAGCACGGTGTTGCATCACCTACCTGGCTCCTAGGTCTGATGAAACACCCAGCAACCTGGTGGTAATCTGATAACTTATGATCAGCTGGATGGTTACCATGGCTACCTATCGATCATTTTTCTGCTCGGGGAATTTCAAAATAAAACATCAGCTGCACGTTCTTCTTGATCGATCTGTAACACCACTCGCAGCAGCAAGAATTACAAATCCTATAAGTAGAAAATAATGATTCTCACTATTTAAATGGAGCAGAGAATTGGCTTTTGTTAACATTACCTGTGCGGTCCGGAGAAGCTCAGTCGCCTTCATCCGGACTTCCTTCAGCGGACACAGGCTGGACAGCCGGAGCAGATGCAGGAGGACCTCTTTGCTCAGCTGTGCCGAGCCGGGCCGGTCCAATCCTAAACACACCAGAACCTTCTGGCTCAGCTCCTCCAGAGCCGTGGTCCGCTCATCTTTGTCCCTGCTGCACAGCCGAGCTAAGCTCTTCGCGGTGGGGGCAGCATTGCATTCCGAGTCGGACCGGCTCCGACCCGAACGCCCAGCACCTGAGTCCCACACCGGTGTCGGGTTTCCCTTTCCATTAGTCTGACAGGTAAAGCCTGGAACAGGAGGACTGGCCATGGTGTTCTGGTTCTCCTGGTACACCTGGGCTGTTGAGTCGTACCGGTCGTTCTCCAGCTAGAGTTAGCTAAATTTAAAGGTAACAGCTGCAGGTAGCTTGACTCAAACATTAGTTGGGTTACCTGTGAAATGCTTAGTTAGTCGTGGTTTTCTCAGTTCGGTGCACTACGTTGAAGAAATGTGCTGAAAACAGCCCGTCTTCATCTGGTCGACCGCAGCTAGCTTCTCTCAGGTAGTTAGCTAAACTAGCATAGCTGCTGTTAGCAGGTGCGAGTTTTAACTAACTCGTGTGTTTAAACACGCGTAGTTTTGTTAAAATAACGAACATTTAAACACACTCTGATCTACATTTCTTTAAGAATTAAGCAGTAGGAGGCACCGCTGATGTTTTCGACGCTGCTTCGGCTCTGACGTTGGACCTACGTCATGACGCCTCCCAGACGTGAAGTGTCCACGATAAACTGGCAACGTTATCCGCTTAAACTGTCAACAACCAAAGTTCATCTTTTTCTTTCCCAATAAAATGAGCACTGACTGATTTAATTAATGCCTTACATTGTTCACAAAAAAGTAAAAAAAAAAAAACAATTTGCACATTTTATTTAGAAAATGTAAGGTTTATTTGACCAGTTTCCTGTCAATATTTTCTGTGACATTTATGTAATTTCATTTCTATTTTTTGCACAATTTTCTGATCGTTGGTATTTTGTAACTGAGGTTATTTCATCTCACATCAGGAATGAAGTATTCTGTTTTTCTAGTTTACCAAAATCAATGATAATCTTTATCTATTTGAGGTCATTTTTATCTGTGTTCTTTAGCCTCCTCTTTTGTCTTATCATCGTGTATGTTTCTACTTCATTTTTGTTGCTATTCTTTCTACTCTTTTCTTTTTGGCATCCTTAAGGTTACATGAATTTGACCTTTGTGAAGGGCTGAGCTTGTTTGTTGTGATAATTCTCTAAAAACCCTGAGGTTGTAAAGGTAATCCCAGAGGATCATGACCGAGTTCTGGTCCTTTGACCTCGGTTTTGAGTTACTAATGGCAACAAACCATCTCACAACTCTGCTTACTTCCTGAATCACCTTTATTTAGGAAAATAAACATCACTGATGCGTTGTTATGACCAGACATTAACGTTATATTTAATTTAGCTGTTCATTCTTCTTGTGGATTGTAGAGAAAAGAAACAAAGGTGGAGGGAACAATGGCAGGAACAAAGACTGATTTGTGGCGACAACAAAACAAAAACCTTCCACTGTTTCCCTATGAGGGAAGACTTTTATTAACACACAGGTCGGCTTTGGAGAGACCACAACTTCATAAGGGAACCATCTCCATGGCAACTGCCCGTTTGTGTCCCAGGAGACTCGGTGGATGCTAGAAGTAGCAGAAGTTTGGGTTCCCAACCCCAACTGGTCCCTGTTCATGTTTATTAATATTAACAAAGTTAAAAGCAGAGGGAAGTGTGTGTTTGTGTTGGTAAATGGGCGCAGATCCACAGCGGAGAGCAGGAAGTGAGTCTTCAAACGATTTTGTTCTCCAGCAAGGCGATCCTCTTTGACATACTCTCTAGTAAGATTTGGTCAAGGACGAAAACAAAGAGAGCAAATAAAACAAACATTATCGGGGAAAATGCCAGAACGTTATCTACCACTATCAAATTCTCACTCATTATGAAGGATATATTTTTTGTTCAGCGCCTGTAGGGCCTCTTCTACTTTCTTCTGGAACTTTACGAGGGAGTCGCATTCGCATGGGTCGTCGTCTGTGTGGGATTCAGAGAAACACAGGTTGAAGCGTTGGCTCTACTAGTCGGTGCAGTAAAACGGGCAGCAAACCTCAGTGGTCTAGTGGTAGAGTGTCTGCCCTGAGAGTGGGAGGTCGGGGTTCAAATCCCTGTCAGGTCATACCAAAGACTTTAACAATGGGACCCAATGCTTGACACTCAGCTTTAAGGGGTTGGACTGGGGGCCACAGCCGCAGCTCACCGCTCCCCATGGAGATGGGTTTAATGCAGAAATGAATTTCGCCAATGTGCGATGACTAATGGGACTTTCACTTTAAACAGCATTGCTTCAGCGGAACATCTGACCTTGACAGATGTTGATCTGAAGCTTCTTGGCGATCTCGTTCATGGTCTTGAAGTCGGCGGTGTAGAAGTAGTGATCTGAAACGGGCTCAGAGGCGATGGCTTTCAACTCGCTCTCCACAGCACTGCCCACTCCAACAGCATACATCTTCATACCTACACACACACACACACACACACACACACACACACACACACACACACACACACACACACACACACACACACACACACACACACACACACACACACACATTCTATTAAAGGTGGGGTAGGAGATGTTTTCTGGAACATTATTTACCACACACACACACACAGAGAAGGTACCCAATAATTTAAAGGTTCTATCAACAACAGTAATAAATTTAATCACCTTTAAAAAGTACCATCCTGGAAAAACCTCATTCAATCGTAGTGAATGTTTTGCTCTTAATGAGAGGAAAATGATCTACTGCCCTCTGACCGCCCCGCCCCCCACTGCTCATACACCTTTTTGTGCACGAATCGCACATTCTGAGCTTGGAGCAGCTAACAGGAAGCAAAGCCAGAGCTGGGCTAGCTATATTAGCTAGAATAATAAATTGTTTTAGTTACATAGCCTGAACAGAAGAAGAAACGGTAAACGGCCCGTAGGGTTCTACAGCCCCCCAAGATGCTTCACAACCTAATCAGTCATTCACCCATTCACACGCTGGTGGGAATGAGCTACGATGTAGCCACAGCTGCCCTGGAGCACACTTACGGAAGTGAGACTGCTGAACAATGGAGCCACCGGTCCCTCTGACCACCACCGCGCAGTGTCTTGCTCAAGGACACAATGGCAGCATTCTCTGATGGGAGCTGGGATCGAACCTGCAACCTAATGATTACTGGACAACCCACTCTACCTCCTGAGCTGCTGCTGCAGGGTTTTCTGTGTAATAAGCCCATTCCTCCTTGCTGGATCTTTGATCTAAATCCTAGTGGATAAAACTTTCAGCGGGGACAGATCCCAGAAAATTCCCGACCAGCGCTCCATTATGAGGAGGCTCTGCAGCTATTACGGAGGTGCGATATTTTGGGAATTTGTCATAAAAGATGCCAAAACTGGGTTGAAAAGTTAAGATGTTAGGTTTTATGGTTGTCTGATAGTATCCCTTGCTTCCGTCCTCCTCCTGTATTCTGGGGGCGTGGCTTAAACGTCGGAACCTGACTAAAGAGGGTTGGACCTTTGAACAGCTTTTTCCAGGAACATCAACCTCATCTCTGATGTGTTTGTTTACACTCACGGATTCAGAGGTTGTCCCTCTTACCAAGTTCCTTTGCCTTCTTAGCAGCATCACCAATATAGTCCTGGCTGCGCCCGTCAGTGAAGACGATGCCGACCTTTTGGACCCCGGGCCTGGCGCCCTGAGCGTAGTTGAAGCTGTTTTCAGTCATGTGACGCAGAGCCAGGCCCGTCATGGTTCCCCTCTCCATGTACACCATCTTCTTCACAGCCTCTTTCAGATCCTTCTTGTTGTTGTGTTTGCCCAGAGAGAACTCCTACAGGGAAGCAGATCCAGATCGTGTTAAAGCAACACTAAAGGGCTTGTAACACTATTGCTTTCAAACTGGTTTTGGTGGTTCTTCAGCCACAAACATGAGCAAATACGCACTGGACAGCAGTCCGCAGCCAAACTCTGGTTTAGGTAGGTTCACCTGGTCTCTACATGCTTTACGGCAATAGCGGTTTACTGTGCCAGTAGCTAATAGGGTTGTTCATGACAGCTGTAATTCTGCTTTCAATCAGTAGGACAGACAAGCGAGGAACGTATTTTGTGCTGCTTTAAAGGTGAATAAAGAAGTGACTTGTTTTCTGTAAAGTAAAATGACCTCGCACCGTTTTGACGGAGCTGGAGTACTGCACCAGTCCAACGTGAGTCTTACGCTCGGAGATGTCCATCTTATCGACGATCTGATTGATCCACTTCTTGACCAGCTCAAAGTTCTCAGGTCGGATGCTCTTTGAGCCGTCGATCACAAACACCACGTCCAACGGAGCGTTGCTGCAAGCTTCTGATGTCGGGAAAACACAAGAGGTATTAACGTGTTTTAAAAAAAGTCATCAAACAATTCAGACACACCCCTGAACGCACACTCACCGCTGCAGGTGCGACCGTCGTCCGCTAGGGTAAAGCCGTCTTTGCAGGCACACTTGTATGATCCCGGGACGCTGATGCATACCTGCTCACAGTCATGATCCCCGGTGGCGCACAGGTCCGACACTGTGTGTGTGCATGCAGAACACACATGTACACACACACACACACACACACACACACACACACACACACACACACACACACACACACACACACACACACACACACACACACACACACACAGGGAGCAGGGTGGTTGGTTGGAGTTAGGAGGAGAAATCAAACTATGTCAGTTTGAAAACAGGGAATCTGGCACATGTTTTTAAAGAGCAAGTCACCCCCTACAAGAAACTTACTTCACTCCCACTTCATGTTTGAAAAATGCAACAAACGCTGTTGCTTGGCAGACCGAAAGGGCGGAGCCACTAACACACACAGGCTCACAATGGCATTATGACATCATAATGTACCAGATGACATCATAGCATACCTCTTAGCCAATAGCGGTGGCAGATTTAAATTCAAATACAGTGCAGAATTTTTCCCTGACGACGGCGCAACACTGACAGTTTTAGGCAGAATATTTGAATTTTAACCAAGATGCACTGAACTGCCAAATTATTGACTACACGTGTCTGTAGCATGATTAGACACTCCTTTATATAGTTTATCAGCAAAAAAAAATGTGATTTGGGGGTGACTTGCTCTTTAATGATCCACTTTGACCTGCATCTAAACTCCATTAGGTTTTTTTTTATTGTTTTAAAGTGAGATTTTGTACTAAAGAGGTGTTCATGTCTGCTGTAGGGAGATGTCACTGGACTGGAGATTCATGGCACATTAGTGATGGGAAAACCGGTTTTAAAGGGAGTTTTCCTCTCCACTGTCGCTTTATGCTTGCTTGGTATGAGGATTGCTGTATAGTCACTGACACTCGTCAGTGACTTGATGCAATTTGCGGGGTTCCTTATACAGGAAACATTATTTCTGATTGGCTTAATGAACTGACCTGAATTGGAATTTTTATTATGTGAAGTGCCTTGAGACGACTCTTGTCGTGATTTGGCGCTATATAAATAAACTTGAATTGAAAACTTGAATTGAATATTAGAACAGCAATATTCCTTAAATATCCTAAACCTTATGGTCACTCATTTGTGCATCAGAGTTGGTTGTGAATAAGTTTTCCGCTCACAAATCCAGCAAAAACTCTCCAGACCGACTCCGCACAACCTCGTTCCAGAAGAGCAGACGATCACTTTGACCTTGGAGGAATTACGTTGGATTCAAGTGGATCCTTAAAACAAACTGCTGGGAGAGCTCAGAGTGGCTTTATGTAAGCAGTTTATTTAGATTTTCTGTTACTTGTGTGTTGATTTGGTCCAACATCTGCAGTGAGAGCGAGCAGCAGACAGCAGCGGCTCTTATCTGAGCCTGAGAGTGCCGAAGGGCACGGCTAATTACGCTTTAATGATTGTCGCTAATAAATTGGTAATTACAGACAGATCAGTCTCGCCTCTCGACTATGGGAGAGCCGAGCGAAGAACAGGAGCAAATCTGGTTCCAAATGATTGTTTCTGCCCTCGTGCGTCGGGAATTTGAACTAAGTGTAGATGACTGGATGAATTTATTACCATCTTGTTGAGGAGGGACAAAAGGGAGGATGCAATGAGTTGGAATAAAAGATGACGGTACCCTCAGTACAGGGATTCTTCTTCTACCCTTTTTTAAACTGTGACCACCAGTTTCTCTGACCCTCTCCCAGTCTTACCACAGAAGGCCTCCTGGAACTTCTTGGTGAGCTTCTCGATGACACTGTAGCTCTCCACGTAGTCCACGTGGTCGTCCAGAGGTTCACTGGCCATCTGCCTCAGAGTGGTCATGTCCACACGTCCCACACCGATGGCAAAAATCTCAATGCCTGCATCGCGTGCACGCTGAGCCACGTCCTTCACGTTGTCCTGGGGACGCCCGTCAGTCACGATGATGGCGACCTGTGTCAGATTAGTTGTAACGTTTATTCTGAGTTATCGGTGCAGGTTTTTGGGGGCGGGATTAGGCGAGCACCTTGCTGATGTCAGGAGACTTGGGCCGTGCGCCCTCAGCCTCGCTGAAGGCCACGTTCAGGGCGAACTGGATGGAAAGACCGGTCATTGTTCCAGTGGAAAGAGGCTCGATTTTGGTGACGGCTTTGATCAGTCCGGTCTTGGTGCGGTGAGTCTTCAGCGACACCTACACATGCAGAATGTTAAGCCTGGGACTTAAGAAACAACCGTTGGGAAAAATCGGTTTAAAACGCCTTTTAGTCACAACCATACCTCATTCTTGACTCGACTCGCGTAGTTGACAACTCCGACCCGGGTGGTGTTGGGTCCGACGTCCAGACCCTCGATGACTTTAGCCAGGAAGACCTTCACTTGCTCGAACTCAGACGGGCGAACGCTGCGACTGCTGTCGACGATGAACACCAGGTCTGTGGGGCGAGTTTTGCACAGGCCTGCCGCTGCACAAGGAGAGATTATAATCCCGTCATATCCTAACCTAAAATAATTGTATTTAAATACAAAAAAGCAAATTGGAAGGAAAAGAGACGAGAAAAGTAAAGGTGGGTTTAGGCAAAGTGCTCTTAAGAGGAAGTGGAAGGAAAACAAAAAATAAAAGGGCATAAAATGTTGTTATATTTAAAAAAAAAAACCTCATTATTACATAAAAAACTTCTACTGGTTCAGTCTAATAAGCTTAAACAGAATATGCAGTTTAAACAAATATTAAAAAGACAAAATCTGGAAAATTTTAACTTTAAGTGAAGAATTTAAGAGAAAATGCAAAAATCCTCCAACATCATTTGAGATTTTCACTATAAAGAGACTTAGTGGATAAAATTTACATGATATGTCCTGGACTGTATTTCTGGATGAATCCACAAGTTTATAACAAAAAAATTAAATTAAATAATAAATAAAACAAAAATAAAAATCATGTTTTATTTCACTGCATAAAAGCTATTTTCCAATTGCCCGTTTTAATAAAATAGTGCTAACTGGTGCTTACATTTTTTTAAAGCCCTAAATGTGCTAGAGTTTAATTTAGAGATAATCTCGTGTCACGTCTCACTAGAGATTAGGGGTTAAAGGTCATTCTTACCCATAGCGGCGGCCATGCGTTGATCTAAAGTGGCCTGGGCACCCACAAGGCCGAGCAGCAGCAGGAAAAGCGACGGGGTAGGCGTCATGGTGACGAGAGGTGGGGGTCCGAGCGCGGCCGCAGACGAGAGGTCCGAGAGCGAGAAGCAGAAAAGGAGGCAAAGCGGGCCGGGGGAAGTTCCAGGCGATGGGTACGGCCACAAAGTGAGACCGATTCACTCCGAGCTGCAGGTTATCAATGCAACAGCTTCACACACACTGCCCACAAACAGCACCCCCCCCCCCCCACACACACACACACACACACACACCCTGGTGTATGTGTGTGTGGGAAAGAAAGGGAAATACCTGCTATGGGAGGACCTAAACGGTGGCAAGGAAAGACAAACACACCTTGATATGGCTAGGATGTCCAGATAGGTGTGTACATGTTCCTCGGTGTGTGTGCGTGTGTGTGTGTGTGTGTGTGTCCTGCTGGGGGTACAGGATCGACTGGGGTTTGGAGTAGCAGAACGCTCGCTGTCCCAGGTTGGATTTGGCTGAAACTCAGATAAACATCAACATGAATCCATCTTTTCTCCTGGCAGCAAACACACATTTACGGGACGGAAGCTGAGGAAAGCGAGCGCACACAGCCGGCAGTGTTCCTGCTGCTCGGCATCATGGGACACGGGAGGCTGTTCTGTATAAATCACACAGGCCCATTTCCTGACTTCAGTAACAAAATAAGCAGAAAGGAGTGATTTTTCTGCCACTTTAGATGTTGTCTTTAACTCTGATAAAGTCAAATAAATCCAGATTTACAATTTTATTTAGAGCTTTACATCTCTGCTTTTCATGTAACCTTCAATCGCGTTGTTATTCAGGCTGCAGGGCTCCATCCGAATCAACACCCACTTACATCAACAAGCTCAAATACAGTCTCCTTTAATCTGTCTCCAGGGTCCACATACATTAAACAGAGACCCCCTTTTCCCTCCAACATCCCGCTCCACCCGAACCGCTCTGTCCTGCATTCCTCTGCAAACTCCCCCTGCTCCTCACTCACACACACACACACACACACACACACACACACACACACACACACACACACACACACACCTTGAACAAGCCGCAATTGAGGCAACATTCTAGGAGGGGATTAAAGGCTCAGACTGTACAGTAACTAACTGGGTGAACTTTTCACAGAACAAGCTGCAGTTTGCTGGAAAGTGTGTGTGTGTGTGCATGTGTGTGTGTGTGTGTGCGCAGTAAAAGAAGGGATGGGTTTCAGGATGAAACAGGTAGGGTCCAGAACATCGTGCCATCTTTGAGCTCAACACATCGCACACACACCAACACGGGTTATGTAACCACGTCCACTTGCCGACAGCAGCAGAAGCTGTACCTGCGTCCATCAGTGGCCGAATGTGAAGCATTAAAAACATTAACTTCAGGGGATGCTGCGCCTGATGAGATGGCTGTTTTTATTTTTTATTTTCAAATATTTATTTGAGAGAAGATACCAAGTTGTTTATTTTGTTTGGGAGGGAAAACGTGGGTGTATAATCATCATATTCTGTCTATTAGAATAACTGAGTACAGAAAACATGCCGGTGAAGGTTCTCAGCCATCCAGATCATGGTAATCCAAAGGGGTTCAAATGAAGGCAACTGGATTTTTTGGAGTTTTGTCAATTTTGACTGGAATATGGGAGGGTCAAGCTTACTAACTTTAGCTGTCTATTGTTGCTTAATAAGCTGAAACTACCTATGCAAACCTCCCCTCCCTACCTAGGTAGTTTCTTCTCGAATGAGAAGCGAAACATCTTCACGAAACCAAAGAAGTCTAGTTGCCTTCATGAGATCCATCCATCCATCCATCCATTTTCATCCGCTTATCCGGAGTCGGGTCATGGGGGCAGTAGCTTAAGTCGAGAAGCCCAGACTTCCCTCTCCCCAGCCACTTGGGCCAGCTCCTCTGGGGGAATCCCAAGGCGTTCCCTGGCCAGGTGAAAGACATAGTCCCTCCACCGTGTCTTGGGTCTATCTTTAGGCCTCCTCCCAGTTGGACGTGCCCGGAAAACCTCACCAGGGAGGCGTCCAGGAGGCATCTCGACCAGATGCCCGAGCCACCTCAACTGGCATCTCTCGATGTGGAGGAGCAGCAAATTTACTCCGAGCCCCTCCCAGATGACCGAGCTTCTCATCCTATCTCTAAGGTAGGGTCCGGCCACACTGCGGAGAAAACTCATTTCTGCAGCTTGAATACGCAATCCCGTTCTTTCGGTCACTACCCAAAGCTCGTGACCATAGGTGAGGGTAGGAACGTAGATCGACCGGTAAATCGAGAGCTTCGCCTTCTGACTCAGCTCTCTCTTCACCACGACAGACCGGTACAACGCCCACATCACTGCAGATGCAGCACCAATCCGCCTATCGATCTCACGCTCCAGTTTTCCCTCACTCGTGAACAAGACCTCCACTTGGGGCAGGATCTCATCCCTGACCCGGAGAAGGCATTCCACCCTTTTCCGAATCAAGACCACAGTTTCAGATTTAGAGGAGCTGATTCTCATCCCAGCTGCTTCACACTCGATTGCGAACCGCTCCAGCGAAAGCTGAAGATCACGTTCTGATGAAGCCAACAGAACCACATCATCTGCAAAAAGCAAAGACCTGATCCTCAGGCCACCAAAACGGATGCCCTCCACACCTTGGCTGCGCCTAGAAATCCTGTCCGTAAAGGTTATGAACAGAATCGGTGACAAAGGCCAGCCTTGGCAAAGTCCAACTCTCACTGGGAACAAGCCCGACTTACTGCCGGCAAAGCGGACCAAGCTCTGACACAGGTCATACAGGGACCTAACAGCCCGTATCAGAGGGCCTGGTACCCCATACTCCCGGAGTACCCCCCACAGGGCCCCCCACAGGGCCCCCTGAGGGACGCGGTCAAACGCTTTCTCCAAATCCACAAAATACATGCAGATTGGTTGGGCAAATTCCCACACACCCTCCAGGATCCCCCTAAGGGTATAGAGCTGGTCCAGTGTTCCACGGCCAGGACGAAAACCACATTGCTCCTCCTGAATCTGAGGTTCAACAATCCGACGGACCCTCCTCTCCACAATCCCTGAATAGACCTTACCAGGAAGGCTCAGGAAAGTGATTCGCCTGCAGTTGGAACACACCCTGCGGTCCCCCTTTTTAAATAAGGGAACCACCACCCCCGTCTGCCAGTCCAGTGGGACTGCCCCGATGTCCACGCGATATTGCAGAGCCGCGTCAGCCAACACAGCCCCACAACATCCAGAGCCTTAAGGAACTCTGGGCAGATTTCATCCACCCCTGGAGCCTTGCCACAGAGGAGCTTTTTAACCACCTCAGTGACCTCAGCACCAGAGATTTGAGAGCCCAACTCAAAGTCCCCAGACTCTGCTTCCTCACTGGAAGATGTGTCGGTGGGATTGAGGAGGTCTTCGAAGTATTCTGCCCACCGATCCACAACGTCCTGAGTAGAGGTCAGCAGCACACCGCCCCCACTATAGTGTTGGTAGCGCACTGCTTTCCCCTCCTGAGGTGCCGGATGGTGGACCAGAATCTCCTTGAAGTTGTACAGAAGTCTTGCTCCATGGTCTCACCGAACTCCTCCCACACCTGGGTTTTTGCCTTGGCAACCAACCGAGCCCCATTCCGCTTGGACTGCCGGTACCCGTCAATTGCCTCTGGAGTCCCACAGGCCAAAAAGACCTGATATGACTCTTTCTTCAGCTTGACAGCATACATAACCGCCGGTGTCCACCAACTGGTTCGGGGGTTCCCACCACAACAGGCTCCGATGATCCTGCGACCACAGCTCCTGTCGGCCGCCTCAACAATGGAGGCACGGAACAGGGTCCATTCAGGCTCAATGTCCCCCGCCTCCCCCGGAACATTTGGGAAGTTCTGTCTGAGGTGGGAATTGAAGCTCCTTCTGACAGGAGACTCTGCCAGATGTTCCCAGCAGACCCTCGCGATACGTTTGGGCCTGCCTGGTCTGACCGGCATTCTCCCCCACCATCTGAGCCAACTCACCACCAGGTAGTGATCAGCTGACAGCTCCGCCCCTCTCTTCACCCAAGTGTCCAAGACATGCGGCCACAGGTCAGATGAAACAACAACAAAGTCAATCATCGAGCTGTGGCCTAAGGTATCCTGGTGCCAAGAACACATATGGACACCTTTATGTCTGAACATGGTGTTCATTATGGACAATCCATGACTGGCACAGAAGTCCAATAACAAAACACCACTCAAATTCAGATCAGGGGGGCCGTTCCTCCCAACCACACCTCTCCAGGTCTCACTGTTGTTGCCTACGTGGGCGTTAAAGTCCCCCAGCAGAACGAGGGAGTCACCGGCAGGTGCGCTCTCCAGCACCCCCTCCAAGGTCTCCAAAAAGGGTGGGTAGTCTGAACTATAGTTTGGTGCATAAGCACAGACCACAGTCGGAACCTGTCCCTCCACGTGTAGGTGGAGGGAGGCTACCCCTTCATTCACTGGGGTAAATCCCAACATACAGGCACCAAGATGGGGGGCAACTAGTATGCCCACCTCTGCTCAGCACCTTTCAGTGGGAGCAACTCCAGAGTGGTCGAAAGTCCAACCCCTCTCAAGGAAACTGGTTCTGGAGCCCGAGCCATGCGTTGAGGTGAGTCCGACTATATCTAGTCGGAAACCTCTCAACCTCACACACCAACTCAGACTCCTTCCCCACCAGAGAGGTGACATTCCATGTGCCAGGAGCCAGCTTCTGTAGCCGAGGATCAGACCCCCAAGGTCCCCGCCCTCGACTACCACCCGTCACATACTGCACCTGAACCCTTTGGACCCTCCCACGAGTGGTGAGCCCATGGGAAGGGGGGCCCACATTTCCTCTTCGGGCTGTTCCCGGCCGGGCTCCATGGGTGAAAGCCCGACCACCAGGCGCTTGCCAACGTGCCCCACCTCCAGAGGGGGGCCCCGGTGACCCACCTCCGGGCGATTGAACACAGTTTCCATTCATATTATTCATCACAAGAGGTCTTTGGGCGGCTCTTTGTCTGATCCCTCACCTAGGACCTGTTTGCTATGAGTGACCCTACCAGAGGCATAAAGCCTCAGACAACTTAGCTCCTAGGATCATTGGGACACTCAAACCCCTCCACCACGGTAAGGTGGCAGCCCAGGGAGGGGTTCATAAGATAAATTGCATTTCTTGCAGAAATGCTGTTT